TGTATTTCTAGCGTGTTGTCGGGTATCAAGTGCAAAACTATGCGTCTGTAAAACGCCCCTGATTTTGGAAAAAAAAGCTTGTATTGTAGACGAGATCCACCGACGCCGCCATAGCCATCGATAAAAAGAACTCTCCCAGTTAGGATCGAACTAACGACCTTCTGATGACCTGCTAGGTGCTGACTAACAGTCAGACGCGCCACCAATTGCGCCATAGGAGATGAGTTGTGGCGGTCCAGTTGATACTATAACGCCTGCAAGCTTTCTCGGCGTTTGGCGCTTGTACATACGTGTGTGAGCAGACTTAAAAGCGGAGAAAGCAGTGTAGTGAGGTAGTCGGAAATTTCGGTTGGTCAACCCACGAGATATAAAACCAGATATTCTCGATCTGAAAGGCCCTCATATTATACATCAAGAAAATTGTGGCACAGCGAACAATCCCGAAAACAAGAAGGCACATCCATAAATGTCCAACATCACCAACCCACAGCTCACCGAAGGTTCGCAGGGCCAAGGTCATATTTCACATCTCCTCCCAGATAGTTGAAGTTTCTCCACCAATCGTTGAGACCGCTCATGACGGACGTCCTATGGCATCAAACGTTAGCCAGGCGCAAGGGGGAAGAGAGAATATCATGGGCGTACCATTGGGTATCCATCCCTTCGAGTGGTGGCATAAGTTCTGGTACAACGTACGTGTCCATAGATTCGGCCATTCCCGGTGCCAGGTTGGACGACGATCCATTCTGCATCATGTGAACTGTCAACACGCGTCCAATATAACGCTACTCGTCACTTACCTGATCAATACTCATCTGATTCAACACACCCGCTCGCCCAACCTCCGAAGCCTCCTAGTTCAATAAAGCTAAACATCCAGAATCAAGCGCTTGCTGTAATCGAGGACTCACCAACCCCCTCTGGCTGGCCGAACTTCTCACAAGATGGTCAAAGAACTGCACAAAGTAACCCGGCGTATCTCCCTTCTGTTGGTTCAATACCCGACAAGCGTTTGATACGCTCTGCAACCGCGCAACAATATCGTCGAACAACTCGTCGTCCACATGGGGGAGTTGCTACAACACACATGAGATAAATATACAAAGGACTTAACCTGGGTATGTACCTTGAACAGCCAAACTCCGGCATAGGCAGTGGTAATCGCCACAATGTCCTGACAATACGTCACATACCCATTCGGTGCCAGTTCCGAAATAACATGCTGCAGTACGTCCGTCGCGCACTTTATACACTCGAGCGTGTGGATCCTTGCTGTGCTGAGCTGGGGATGAACGAGGTTGAGGAGTTTGAGCTCGGCTACGATGAGCTTTAGATGTAGGCTGTAGAATTTGATCAGCGCTTTTGAGACGGGTGCTAGATTTGGTTGGTCTACAGTACAGGGCGCGCCAGTAAGTTTGTGGGTTGGGGTGATGTGGTGGGTGGACGTACCGTTGTCAGAGACCCATCGTTTGGTTCTGTCTTCGAGTATCTGCGAGACATGTCGCATGAGGGGCTCGAAAGCTGCCTTGTTTGATACAGTCATGGACGAGAATAGAGAATGGCACAAGAGTCGCACGCTTCCGAATGCGGCAGAGCCAACAAGCATGCCGTCGGCGTCTGCAAAGCTAATCAGAATCGAAGTCTATCAATCGCTAAACAGCGTACTGCACGGAAACTAATACAAAGCCAATTAGGCCTGGACAACAGTGGAGTTTGTGAAGAACGTACCTCCTGATGGTCCAACAGCCATTGATAGCTATCTGGTAGATGGAAATCTAAAATCATCTGCGGTTTACTTCTCTGCATTCTATACCTACTGTAAGTTGGGTTTGGGAGAATGACGGCACGAGACTCACGAAGTTGTCATATCGTAACCTGATTATAGACAGTAAGCATTGTACTTCAATGAAAGGTTAAAAATGCTAACAAACAAGCTCTGCAAACAATGGTTAATTTCGTAAAGCAAGATAAATGAAAAGGCACTCACGAAGCCAAGTTCTCTCCTTATTCTAGATCACACAAAACTAAATCAAAATTCGCCCAATTAGATCATAGAAACGGACTCACCAGTTGCTCCCTCGCAGTCAACTCATCGCCAGGCAACGGATCTTCTCTCGGTGCCTGCAAATTCAACTCATACGCCATACGAATCGCCAACCCCACCTTCCGCCAACTACTCGAATCCCTCGGATCCTTCCAAAACGTCATCAACGACAACGCCTGAACGTACTCGATGCTGCAGATTCCGTCTGCGAGGGCTCGTCCGAGGAGGGTTTGACCGAGGGCGTTGCATCGTTCCCAGGCGTGGGGGCGGACAAAACGACATGCGACGCAGATGATGGCTGTGAATAAGACGCTGGAGCGGGATCGGACGTATGAGTGAGAGTGGAGGGCTGGGTCTAGAAGAGCGATGATGGGGTTGAGCGAGTTGTGGTAGCTGCCGAACGGACTTTAGTAAAATGTAATATTCAAATTGCTGGATCTTACAAAAAGAATAGTCCTTGGACGGCCTCCTCCGGGATGATACCGGCTGTAACGGGAGTATCGTAATTATCGGACGGCCGGGCCTCCCGAAAGAAATCTGCGGGGTCACCAGTTGGCGAGGGAGAACGAGAGTCGCTCAGAATCTTCGCTAGCGAGTAGCCACTCGCGACAGCGTCTTTCGGATGAGGCTCTTGCTGCGATCCCAGAAGCTTGAGACTTCGATCAGGATCGACACTTGCGCTAGTTCCCGAGCCAGAGCCCTCGGTTTTCATGTTTGAACCGACGGAGGGGTATTTACGCATGTGTTCTACGCGGTGAAGCTGCGAATGCGGGGAGTCTACGGTCGGGCGTTAGATAGGTAAGAGGTGCTCGCTTATTAAACTCACCACGAGCCGAGTGAGTATCGACCTGTGAAGAAGTAAAGGGAGAGTTATCTTGGCCTCGTGCTGGAGAATATTCCTGCTCGAACTTTGCATCTCCATATTGATTCGTTGAATTGACGTAAGAAGACGCCTGGGAGGTGGACGCGTTGGGGGAGTGGGACGGGGGGAGACCAAGCGCGTTAGACGAGGACATGTCGTGCTGGAGAACGATTTCCGAGGGACCGTCGCCCGCGTATGGATGACTATCAAGACAAAAGGTGAGTAGACGTTATCACAGGAAAACGCCGCCGGAATTTCCAAAGATGTGAAAAGTGGCTTGCGCATGACGTGGTTTGCGGCCCCGTTTCTTTTCGCGGTAGATGCATTCCAATGAGAGCCGGACACAGCGAGAGCAAGGTCCGTCCAGCAGAGTGTGGTGGTTCTCACACCGGACTTTAATAGACCGGCACTCGGTGCACCTGTGCAAATCGCCGGTAATCGTAAATCAGCCCAAATAGCTAAAACACCTCACTCACGCTCGTCCTCGAGGCTTCGCCGGAGCGCTCTCTGTCCCTTGCGCATTCGGACTCTCGTCTTTCGCCATGTTCGCGTCCATCGTTGCTGGTGGTTCAGCCTCGGTGTTGCAAATTGGAGCTGGGGTCACGTGCTCTTGTTGGGCTCGTGCCGAACAACTCAAATATATGTCTGAAAATGCCAATTACGAATTTACCCATTGGGCGTCTCGAGCGTATATGCGCTCTTAGCTTGAATAGTTGACCATGGTGTTGCTT